AGAGTACGACAGTGGCAGGATTTGAACCTACGCATCCAGAGGATAATTGATTTCAAGTCAATCGCCTTAGACCACTCGGCCACACTGTCAATCTGAGTACTATTATTATATGAACCTATATATATATATTTATTTATGTATGTATGTATTTTCTGTTTTTATTATATAACTATCATTATATCAACCTTTATACATCTAACTATATATATATAACTATAACTATTCTTTCTTATATTTTATCCTTTCTTTTATATATATATACCTCTACCATATTTTACTTATATACTTATTATCCTTACACTTTTTATACACCTATTATATATATATATATATTATTTATTATATATATTATATCCTTTATATTATATATCATATATCATATCCTTTATACTTTATATACCTTTAATATCTTACTTTATTACTTTATTACTTTATTCCTTTATTCCTTTATTACTTTATTCCTATATTACTTTATTCCTTTATTCCTTTATTACTTTATTCCTATATTCCTTTATTACTTTATTCCTTTATTCCTTTATTACTTAATTATCTTACTTTACAGTACTCCCCCCATTTTTATACTAATTTATTAGAAGTCTTCAATAGTATAGCTGGTTAGTATCTTCGCCTGTCACGTGAAAGACCGGGGTTCGAATCCCCGTTGAAGAAGTTCACTTTTTATACTATAATATTTCTTTTTATAAGTATATATATGACTATTTATTATACTATTTTTTGTTACAATAAAATATATATTATTCCTTTCTTATATATATTTATTTTTATTTATTATATTTCTTTTTTACTATATTATTTATATTCTTTATAAAAAGAGTACGACAGTGGCAGGATTTGAACCTACGCATCCAGAGGATAATTGATTTCAAGTCAATCGCCTTAGACCACTCGGCCACACTGTCAATCTGAGTACTATTATTATATGAACCTATATATATATATTTATTTATGTATGTATGTATTTTCTGTTTTTATTATATAACTATCATTATATCAACCTTTATACATCTAACTATATATATATAACTATAACTATTCTTTCTTATATTTTATCCTTTCTTTTATATATATATACCTCTACCATATTTTACTTATATACTTATTATCCTTACACTTTTTATACACCTATTATATATATATATATATTATTTATTATATATATTATATCCTTTATATTATATATCATATATCATATCCTTTATACTTTATATACCTTTAATATCTTACTTTATTACTTTATTACTTTATTCCTTTATTCCTTTATTACTTTATTCCTATATTACTTTATTCCTTTATTCCTTTATTACTTTATTCCTATATTCCTTTATTACTTTATTCCTTTATTCCTTTATTACTTAATTATCTTACTTTACAGTACTCCCCCCCATTTTTATACTAATTTATTAGAAGTCTTCAATAGTATAGCTGGTTAGTATCTTCGCCTGTCACGTGAAAGACCGGGGTTCGAATCCCCGTTGAAGAGTTCACTTTTTATACTATAATATTTCTTTTTATAAGTATATATATGACTATTTATTATACTATTTTTTGTTACAATAAAATATATATTATTCCTTTCTTATATATATTTATTTTTATTTATTATATTTCTTTTTTACTATATTATTTATATTCTTTATAAAAAGAGTACGACAGTGGCAGGATTTGAACCTACGCATCCAGAGGATAATTGATTTCAAGTCAATCGCCTTAGACCACTCGGCCACACTGTCAATCTGAGTACTATTATTATATGAACCTATATATATATATTTATTTATGTATGTATGTATTTTCTGTTTTTATTATATAACTATCATTATATCAACCTTTATACATCTAACTATATATATATAACTATAACTATTCTTTCTTATATTTTATCCTTTCTTTTATATATATATACCTCTACCATATTTTACTTATATACTTATTATCCTTACACTTTTTATACACCTATTATATATATATATATATTATTTATTATATATATTATATCCTTTATATTATATATCATATATCATATCCTTTATACTTTATATACCTTTAATATCTTACTTTATTACTTTATTACTTTATTCCTTTATTCCTTTATTACTTTATTCCTATATTACTTTATTCCTTTATTCCTTTATTACTTTATTCCTATATTCCTTTATTACTTTATTCCTTTATTCCTTTATTACTTAATTATCTTACTTTACAGTACTCCCCCCATTTTTATACTAATTTATTAGAAGTCTTCAATAGTATAGCTGGTTAGTATCTTCGCCTGTCACGTGAAAGACCGGGGTTCGAATCCCCGTTGAAGAGTTCACTTTTTATACTATAATATTCTTTTTATAAGTATATAT